TATATATTGTATTTCTATCATTAGATTTATAAAAATATATATTATATATAAACATTTTTTTTTATTTCAGGCATTACAAGAAACGCAGAAGGCTGCGATTAGATTTGAGAGAGCCAACAGTCAACATTCGGCAGCTAAAGAAATGGTTTACTTAGCAGAGGAAGGACTACGGACCGAAGGAAGATGTTTTGACCACGCTTGGCAGGTAAGACTCTTCAAGCCTTGAGAAAAATTATATGCAAGGTTATTACGCAAGTAATGAAATATATTATAGGAAATGTTGAATCATGCTACGTCGCGAGTTAATGAGTCGGAGCATGAGAGAGCTCTCTCTGAAGCTGATCATAGGCATACAACTGTGTTGTATCATAAAGCGGAACACGAAGTTCAAAGATTGCAGCGTGAATTGAAGCGTACTATTGCTAAATCTAGGTACGTAAGGAACCACTGCCACTCTCTTCTCATTAATGGAGCTCGAGTATACCTACTTTCCCATTGGTTTTTTATAATGCATGAAATTATCGCATATAGTTATTTTTTTTATATGAACCACTTTTTAAAAAAACCTTGTATACAACCAAGTTAATGTATCGGAACACGATAAATGTTTTACAAAACCTCTTATTGTTTCTTCCTATTGCTTTATTGACATATTTTATCTCTACTTAAATAATCATCGAATTACTTTCGATTGATTATTACGTTTATGTTATTTTCTATAGACCTCTTATGGTATTTATGTGTTTTGGTTATATGTTCATGTTGGCAGTATGGGTGCACGCCGCAGCTTGCTTCTGATAAACAGTATCGCCTACAGGCACAACTTGCTCATGTTGTAAGTAGGATAGATATTCTTTTTTATTTTTTTAAATAAACGAGACATTTATTTTGAGTGTGTCATCAAACTAGCTCTCTGTTCATTTATTTTAATCATCATCCTGATTGTGCATGAATTATATATATTTATTTTTGAGAATATTTCGAATGTACAATTTGCTAGGTTTTTTTATTGATCTTTTCACGATAGATGTACTGCACACAAAATTTATCAATATTTGCTTCTTCCTAATCAAATTGCCATGCAACAGATTGTTATGCATAAATATATATTATGCATACATTCAAATACTGATTGTAAAAACATATCATTTTTACATAGCTCCAACTTAATGAAATATTATATAATCACATAGGCCTTACTATGAGATGAAAGCGTACTTTAATCAAATGCTGGAGGAGCAGAAGATGAAAGTCAGTGCACTGGAGAGATCAGTTGGCGAAGCAAAAGCTTCGTACGCGGAAGCATTACGAAATTTAGAAAAGATCAGCGACGAAATTCACAGGGTATAAATATAGACTTGTGTGAATAAACGTGGTTCGAACTGTGTAAAATTTTCATTACACTTTTGCTAACAGACAAGAAGATACGATGGTATGGACGAATACGATAAGAGTACACAAGACGCACCCGATCGCTCCGCTTCGCAAATTAACACGGCGACTTCAACGGATTCCAGTGTAACTGGATCTCCAGACAGCACGGATTACACTAGTGACGAATATTTACGCCTTCCCGATAAGATGAGTCCGAACGTGCCATGTCCCATGCCTACAAGAGTAAGTATACATTCCTGGCAAATCGTACTTCTTAATTTCATTAATCGATAAATCATTCTTTTTTTTTTCAGATCGAGAGAGATTCATCGTCGGAGTACTTGGGCCTAAATAATCTGAATCTTTCATCCACTGAACCTCGTAAATACATAAAACGGGACCGTCCACGAAGCATCGCTGCGACCGACTCGAAACATATCGTATCTCTAAATCATACTTCTTCTAAATCAAGTTCTTCTGCACCAGGCCTGACGGATCTGTCGGGCATTATATCTCCGGTTGAAAAGAGAGTTAAAATTCAAACACCCGTAAACGATCGCAAGAATAATACTACTAATTCTCAAAACGGAGAGGAGTGGACGGAAATTAGCCTGAACAATTCGCCGGATGAAGTTTATTATAATAATGACGTGTATTCTGACGAGGAAGATCAAATTCCCTACAAACCGCTACCGATGGATCTAAGTCCAGAACTTGCTCAGACAATTAATGCTACCAGCGAACCGCCGAAAGAACAAATTAGTCGAAGGAGATTAGTAACGCAAAAATCTTTACCCACAATGTCGAAAGTAAATGAAGTTACCTTAAGCGAAGAGAAGAAAGCCGAAGTTACGAGAAGTCCGTCAGTAAAAAATAGAAGCAAGCTCGATGGTAGCTTAGCTAATTGGATAACTAGAAGTTCAGCCGGTGGTGAAACTAGTGGTGGTAGTTCCAGTAAGTGGATGAATGTGTGCGTCTTTAACAAATTTCATATATGTTATTGTGAGATGTAGATTTATACGTTAACATTGTTATTTCAGCGAATTCAAGTAGAAGACAATCTCTCGATATGTTGTGGAGTGGCGGTACCGGGGAGCGCGTTAAGGAATTACTTAATCACGGCATGATGATGCTAAACATATCTAGCTTAACGGAACGACGTTCCAGTGAACCAAAGACAGCGGAGAGAGACAAGGATAAGTCTGACAAGTCTGAAAAGTCGGAAGTTAAAGGAAAGAAAGTTCCAAGTCCGTTAGAAAAAACAATGAGCTATCTCAATGCCGATGAGGAGACGTCGGACAGCGAAAGTTTAGCTAGGTAAGTTTATACTGATATATTCTCATCAATCAACGATATCTTAATTTTTCTTTTTCTTATCAAACTTACGATTAGCGTGGAGATGCTAACAGAGGATCAAATCTCTTCACTCATGATGGAGCCGGACATGAATCAAGTATGCCAAGAGATTCTGGGAACTCCCTTAGTCGAAGTATGTCCGCTGTTGCAACAATTACAGCAACAATAGCCTTATAGCAGAGGAATTTGCACGACAAAGTGGCAAAGATTCAACAATAGAAAGTGTTCAAGATCATTATAAATCGGTAACATAATTAAGATACATCTCCTTTCTGTTACGCTACTGCATTATCATATTATATTTCTGTCTATTGCGTGTCGTAAATTTTTCTATTGTTATGTGATATAGGACAAAGCAGGGCAAAGTAAAGGTTGTATTTCTAAGTAATTGTCAGATTGATTCCGACATTATTTATGGGTTTTACCAGGTATTATCAAGTTATTTCATTAGTTAGAAAAATAATATTTATATGCTTAGAAAATATAATCGGTTAACGCTTTTAGTCAATTCAGAACTTGCGTTAAAAATGTTTCATTAGCTTCTCGGACACTACAAAGCCTAACGTCATTTTTGTGGATACGCTTACATGATATCTCAGCTTGTGAAGAGTGTTTTCGAACTTATTCTATAAAATCTTTCTAATATTTAAGATTTGGTAAAACTATGAAACATCAGTCGCTGAGGAAGCAATATGTAGTTACTTTTCTAGGATATTGTGTAGTTTAACCTAGATACTCATACACAAATTTATTCCAAGTCGCATCGACTATTTTTTGCTTGCCTTTACATGCGACTATTATCACGTTAAAATCTTTCGGAGCGTTTAACAAATATATTAGAATATTGTGCTATCACAGCGAAATATCAAACAATCTAGACAAATTAGGTAAACAAAACAAGGATTACATTCACCACGCTACGTTCAAAGATAACCGAAGATTTAATAAGATCCATTTCTAGTAATGTAGATTAACTTTAATTTTGATTTAATTTATTTCTTTATCCTTTTCTAATTTTTTAAACTAGAAAAGATAAAAAGTAAGTTAACCCGAGATTAAAGTTAATTTTTGTTGGTAGAAATGGACGCAGGATAAACATTTCCTTGTCTTTCTCTATCTCTTCTTCATCAAAATACAATCGATCGGTCCACTAAGTTACTCGCGAAGCGTACAACCGAAAGAAAAAAAACATATATAGAAAGTTACAAGATGCCAATTATATGACTGCGATGGTCAGATTATCTTTAATGCGGAACATACTGTATATATAAGCGTAGCATAATAATAACAATTCTAAACGTACATAAGTCTGTGTGCAAAACGTACTGTTGGCATCATAAATACCTGAAGAGTACTCGTTTTGAGTTTCATTAATATAATTCGTTACGCGAAGCTGTACGTTCGATCAGTGACAGCACGTTTTGAGCACAGATCAGGATTTTCGCGGCTTTTTGGCAATCGTGCTGTTTCATTAACGAAGCTTCGCGACAGTAAAACAGTATTCACTTCAGTCAGGTTGAGCAAGATATTTTTCAATATTTGTCGTTCTGTGACGCGAGGCGTGCCTGTCAATAAATATCTTACGGCTGTCTCGAGATCGCTATGCGAAAAGCGAATGTTATACAAGTTATTATGAACAAAATAGTCTGGATAGTCGAATGATACTCGATGATGGTAATAATAATAGATCGAAGGCTTGCTCGAACGGATTCAGACACTCGGAATGAGTGAAATTTAAATGTAGCTCCATCATTTTTATTGCTGCGTATTGTGATATAGCTCTTAGCGATTTTAGACATTTAGTTTTGGATTTTCCAATTGTCGAACGAAAACATTAGTGCAAAGGATGCATGCAATATGCTATTTATAAAGAGAGTAATATATATAATATATATAATAAATATACATATATATATATATAATATAAATTAATAATATATATACAAATTATTTATATATAAATTAGTTATATATACATATACAGATCCTATTTATTTTGAGCGTAATATTCTGTAATCGGCGTTAATTGACACTTTTCATACAGCGTTCGTCAATTTTTATAAAGTGGCAATTGTGCTTCTTAAGGAATTATTTTACGACTCGCGACTTGTCAAAGGATCTCTCTCTGTGTATGTTGTGTGAATGTGCAACATTATTTAATTACAAATAGTGTTGCAGTTATTAGGGGTACGCTCCACTTGGCGTATGCAATGCTCGCAAGCATTTCATCCTTGCTGGACATAAAAGGACATAAAATATTGAACAAAGATGAAATGCACGCGAGCTTTGTTGCAAACGCCAAGTGGAACACATTCCAGATTTCGCTATCAAAAAATGTTGTATGTTATACATGTACAAACAGGCTCACGCAGATGTCATTATTGCCACTCTTCTGTAAAATATAATCAATCTACTCGAAAGCCGGTGATCGCGCTTTAATGTTAAAGTTGGCGCCGAATATTTTCATGTACGTACAAAACACGACAAGCATAATTCGCTCATTTGAATTATTCGCTCGAAAGTCGTGGAAAAAAGAATGAAAATGAGACGCCATGGTGTATTTGCCGATCTTAATTATTTCGCTCGCATTTTCCGTTCATATATATAGGTTGTAACGTGCACTGTTAAATTCATAATGCCAAATTATATCCACAATTTCAGTTAGTTTTAATTTCTACAGGTCGCCACTGCTCCTATTTAATATGTTATTAATTTAACTAAAATAATGAAGTTAAACGATTTAACTCAAGAAAATGTATTAAATTTGACTCAAATTTAGTTCATTGTTTACTAAATGCATATACTGTTTACTTAATGCATTTAATTAATTGGACGTTATTTATTTTGAAACTAATTGTACAAATTAATTAAATTTTGACACACATACACCGAGAGAAAAATGTACCAAATAATTATTTGAATATTATTAATATAACATTCACTTACGGAAAATAAATATTTGCTAAATAAAAAAATATAATAGTTAAATAGAATTAATGATTCTTGCACTAAATAAATGTTTACGTAAATATTCAACTGGCATTATTCAAACAAATATTTATTAAAATTTAGTGCACATTTTTCTGTCAGTGTGAAGGTTAAAAACAAAATATTATTTAACTTAAGGGATTGTTCCTCTGTTCATGTAATAGTATACAACTTTGTATGAATAAAGATTATAAGAATTTTGTTAGCGGCGAAATATCGAAGGCTGGAGATCGTTCGTCGAAATTCCACATAATCACAGCGTCGTCGCGCTCGCGAGATGTATTTTTTGTCCCGCGTTTTTCAGTAAGGACGATACAGCGAGCGGGGACGCGTACAGCGATAGCGATAACAAATTGTATTGTACATACCTAATATTGTATATGTGAATGTAACTATGTATATATTACATCATTATCCTCCATTAAAACCTCATTACGAAAAGCGTATGCAGAAACGCGCGTCTAACGAACATGGTTCACCCATCGAAACCGTTCGAATTCAAATCGAACGGCTGGCCCCAGTTCGTTCGAATGCAACTTCACGCTGCACTATTCTCGCGAAGTGCAATCTGAACGAATAAACGGATAAACGATAAACACCAGGTTTTATCGTGGTCTCATTCAATGTACATCAAATCAGAGGATTGATTATATATATTTTGAAACGAAGTGAAAATTACAAAAGTGAACGAATTAATTGTTTAACAACGAATTTGCTCATTTTTGTAATTTTCATACCATTTCATGATATTTGTGACCTCCTGTATTTTTATTAATAAGTCATGACACGATATTAAACTTTGAGAGGAAAGAACGGAAAATACGACGTCAGTGCGAATAAAATTATGCAACAATTAATTAACTTAATATTACTTCAATTATTACAATCATTTGTATTATTCCAATTCTTAATTAATTGTTGCATTATTTTGATGTAAAACCTTTCAATTATTAATTGTATTTTCACGCATCACTTATCGCGTTGAATTATTTACAGTCTTTTTCTTTTAACATTTTTCTTGAGTCACGTCTCATTTTAACTCACCTCATTGTTCGCTCGAATTCAAATCGATTGGATACGCCATGATCGCCGTCGTCGTCCAGAAAATCGGAGGAATTCTACAATTAATCTTGCGAAAAACGAATAGACATACGTCGTCCGGACGCAACGATGCGATCAACAGTGAAATTCTGTAACTCATTATGTGTTCATAACGACAATATCATTGCACAGTATATTTTATACCTAATGAAAATAAAAATCAGATGTAATGGGAGAATAACAGAAGCGTAAACGAAACTTCTAGAAAGA